TTTTCTTTCTGGTTTCTTGATGTAGAAACTAAGGTCACTGATTTGAGACCTTTCTTCTCTTCTAACATAGATGTTTAGTGCTATAAATTTCCCCTTAAGGACTGCTTTAGCAGCATCCCATAAATTCTGATGTTGTTTCCATTCCGATTTCTTCTCTGATCCATGGATTATTTTAGATGACCCATGGTTATTTAGCTTCCTAATATTTGGGGATTTCCCAAAGATATTTCTGTTATTGACTCCTGCTTCAATACCATTTTGATCAGAGAACTCATCTTGCATGACCTGAATTCTCCCAAATTTATTGAGACTCATTTTATGGCCCAGAATGTAGTCTACCTTGATAAATGTTCTGTATGCAGTTGAAAATAATGTATCTTCTCTTCTAGGTGAATGGAATGTTCTACAGATATCAATGAGAGTAATTTGGCTGTGTACTATTCAAACCTTTTATACCTTATTGATTTTCTGCCTACTTATTCTGTCAATTATTGATCTATTCAATCAATTATTAAGAGAGGAATATTCAAATTTCTGAGTACAACGGAGAATGTGTCTATTTCTCTTCTTGAAGTTTCATCAGATTTTGCTTCATGTATTTCAAATCTATGTTTATTAAGTGCATAAACATCTAGGATTGTTATGTCCTCCTGATGGACTAACCCCTTAGTCATTTTGAAATAACCTCTAGAGGGGCACCTGGGTGGCTCAGTCGGTTAAGCGTCCGACTTCAGCTCAGGTCACGATCTCACAGACCGTGAGTTCGAGCCCCACATCGGGCTCTGGGCTGATGGCTCAGAGTCTGGAGCCTGCTTCCGGTTCTGTGTCTCCCTCTCTGTCTGCCCTTTCCCCGTTCATGCTCTGTCTCTCTCTGTCTCAAAAATAAACGAAAAAAAAAAAAATTAAAAAAAAAAAAAAGAAATAACCTCTAGTAATACAATCTTTTATCTCTCGTAATATTCTTCTCTCTTAAGTCTACTTCGACTAACATTAACATAGGCACTCCAACCTTCTTTTGACTAGTCTTTGCATGGTATATATTTTGCTATCCTTTTATTTGTAACTTCTTTAGGTCTTTATATTTAAAGTGCATTTCTCCTAGGCGGTATATATTTAGGGTCTCCTTTTTTCACTCAATCTGACAGCCTCTGCCTTTTAATTGGCCTTAGACCACACACGTTTAATATGACTATTGAGAACTGTTAGGTTTAACTCTATCACTTTGCTATTTGTTTTCTATTTTCCCATATGTTCTTTTTCCTTTTTCTTCCTTTTTTTGGGGGGAGGGAGGGGAATGAGAATGAGAACTGAGAATAATTTTTATGATTCCATTTTATCTCCTTGGTCGCCTTATTAGTCGTAACTTTCTGATTTGTTATTTTATGGTTGCTTTAGGGTCAGCAGTATACATCTTTAACTTACAGTCTTCCTTCAAGTGATTCTATATCACCTCATGTGTAGTATAAGAATCTTCCAATAGTATACTTCCATTTCTCCCCACTTCTTGGTTTTTGTGTTACTGTTGTCAAACATTTTAATTTCACATGTTTTGATCCTCATGCTACTTTGTTATTATTTTTATTTAATAGTAAGTCATCTTTTGACAAGCTGTAAATAATAAGAAAAACTCTCATAGTGATCTGCTTGGTGCTCTTCATTCTTTTGTGTGTTCTTCATTCCCTATTTTCCTTTGGCATCATTTTCTTCCCTCTTGAAGGACTTCCTTCTTTTAGTGCAGGTCTGTGAGTTCTCTCTGTTTTTTTATGCCTGAAAAAATTATAGTTTACCTCCCTTTTGATATCTGTTAATATTTACTCATAGTGGATTTTAACTTTTATTTGTTAATAACTGTTATTTAACTGTTATTTAACTATTATTTTATTTTTATTATTATGAACGTATCTTAAGCAGGGCTTGTTTTTGCTGCAGGATCTTTGTGTGACTTGTCTTGCTGAAGAGAGCTTTTGAATTTATTTCTAGCAGGTATCACAAGGACACCGTTGGCTCAGGACCAATTTTTATGTTAAATTCTTAAGGCTGCCTCTAGCCCTACATGTATGATTTAAATTTGTACTCTAAATCCAAAATTTTAGGTTGCAATTTTCATTTATCCGGGAGCCTTTTCCCCCTCTCTGTATATCATGTTATATGTAAATATCAGTTGCAATTTCCCATCTCACTCAAGCCCTAGGCCTTCTCTTCCACCCCTAAGTGAATGTTCATACAAAAGCTTCAAGCTATTAGAAGTTCTATTTTTCTCCCCAAGACAGCTGCATGTCAGGTACAGTATACTATCACTTTGAGTTTTCGTTCTTTTCTTTGCTTCTGGTACGTGGGACTTTCCCTCTTGTTTCTCTCACGGGCCTAGCACTACATTAAAAAAAGATTTAATGACAACTGGGATTTCAAAATATCTTGATAAGCTGAGATGATGGACTAAATAAAATGAGATGATGAATAACAGAATGTAAAGTCCAGCATTTAGGCTAAAAACAAAACAAAACTACTCCCCCCCCCCCCCAAAAAAGCAATAGCTTCACAAGTACAGGCGATGTAGCCTAGTAACAACAGAAGTGAGAACCATTAAAGAATTTGAGCTGCTCCACAAAAGCCCACAGTGTAAAGTTGCTACCAGAAAATTCACCCTTTATTATAGTAGAACAGGACCGGGACTAGCAAGGAAATACCATTTTGTGGTTATCACATTACATGTATGTATTGGTTATCTGTATGTATTGGTCTGTATGTATTGTGTAACAAATTACACCAAAACTTAGTGGGTTAACACAATAGACGTTTCTTACCTCGGAGTTTCTGTGGATCAGAAATCTTGGTGCAGCCTAGCTTGGTACTACCTCTGCTAAAACATGTCTCACAGGATAACATCAAGGTATGGGATGGGGCTATAGTCTCATCTGAAAGACTGACAGAGGGAGGACCTCCTTCCAAGCTCTCTCATATAAGTGTCTACTGGGTTCAGTTCCTCACAGGCTGTTGAACTAACTGAAGGCTTCAGTTCCTTACCAGCTGTTGATGTGGCCTCCCTTAGTTCCTTACCACATAGACTTCTCCACAAAGTAGCTCACAAGATGACAACTGGCTTCCACGAGAACCAGCAAGAGCAGGAGAAGGCAAGCAAGAAGGACTAGTCTCTTTGTCACCTAATATTAGAAGTGATATCTATCATTTGCCATATTTCAGGTCCAGTCTACGCTCAAGGGGAGTCTATGCTCAAGGGCATGAATACCAGGAGACAAGGATCATTAGGAACCATCTTAAAGGCTGCCTACCACAATGTGTCACATTTTAAATGGTCCCAAAGGTACAATATGATATCCCAAGACAACTGTGACCAAGAGAACTAAAAAACTTTTTTCAAGAACAAAAATTCAGGCCATGTAAAGGAGAATGTAAAATGTTTAGGCTAAAAAAGAGAAGGGATAAAAGGAGGAGAGGAGGGGACCAGGGTACGCTTGTAGGCAGGTATTATACATGTCTTATTCACTATTAAAATCCTCAGTTACTGGAACACATTAGGTATTCAGTGAATACTTGGTAAGTGCTATGTGAAAAAAAATTAAAGAATAAATCCATAGGGAAGTGAATTTTGGCTCAAAATCTAGAAATAAGGAACTTAACGCTTAGAATTTTATAAAATCAGGACAGATTGCTAGGTATGTCTCTGGAGGTATCAAAAGAGAGGCTGGATGATCATGCAGGATGAATGAAGTCAGGAAGTGTGGATGAAATAACCTCTAAGTGTTAAAAGATCCACCTCTAATGTTCTGATCCCATGACACTATTGGTCTGGATAAATAAATCATTACTGAAAATGGCTCCTGATCCATATTCTGGCCATAGCCTATGGTATACTGCCAATGTTGAAGACACAATAAAACCATAATTCCTTCCCCTTAGACAACAGGAACCCTCTAAGCCTTTTAAAATATTTAGCCAAAAAAGAAATGAGTCCCATGTGAAACAGCTCACTCCTGACACTGGCCCCACTCTCCATGCTGCTGCACTGCTTTGCAGCAGTGCGGTGTAGTAGAGACAAAGGACAAAGGCTGGGGGTTCTGGAATCACAATGACCTGCTCTGGCTCTGCACTTTACCAGCTATAGGACCATAGGCCAAGTCATTCAAGTCATTCAATTTCATTAGGCCTTTCTTTCTTTCTTTCTTTCTTTCTTTCTTTCTTTCTTTCTTTCTTTCTTTCTTTCTTTCTTTCTTTTTCTTTCTCCTTCCTTCCTTCCTTCCTTTCTTTCCTTCCTTCCTTCCTTTCTTTCCTTCTTTCCCTCTTTCTTAATATGAAATTTATTGTCAGATTGGTTTCCATACAACACCCAGTGCTCATCCCAACAGGTGCCCTCCTCAATGCCCATCACCCACTTTCCCCTCCCTCCCACCCCCCATCAACCCTCAGTTTATTCTCAGTGTTTTAAAGAGTCTCTTATGGTTTGCCTCCCTCCCTCTCTAACTTTTTTTTTCCCCTTACCCTCCCCCATGGTCTTCTGTTAAGTTTCTCAGGATCCACATAAGAGTGAAAACATATGGTATCTGTCTTTCTCTGTATGACTTATTTCACTTAGCATAACACTCTCCAGTTCCATCCACGTTGCTACAAAAGGCCGTATTTCATTCTTTCTCTTGCCACGTAGAATTCCATTGTGTATATAAACCACAATTTCTTTATCCATTCATCAGTTGATGGACATTTAGGGTCTTTCTATAATTTGGTTATTGTTGCAAGTGCTGCTATAAACATTGGGGTACAAGTGCCCCTATGCATCAGCACTCCTGTATCCCTTGGGTAAATTCCTAGCAGTGCTATTGCTGGGTCATAGGGTAGATCTATTTTTAATTTTTTGAGGAACCTAAAGACTAGGACAATATTCACCTCAAAGGATTGCTTTGTTTTGTTCCCCATAAATATTGTAAAGTGAAGCCATCAAGAAACATTTCAAAGTCTAGGTAAAAACACCACTCTCTCATTCCTACCTTGATAGTTTTTCACAGGAGTCATCTTGTTATAATCTTCTGATAAAATAAATTCCTGCAAAAGAGAAGAAAAATATCAAGCAAAAAGAAATTCTTTAAGGGAATAATTATGTTTCGATAAAACTAGATGGTATAAAGAAACATAAGCACAGAATTACATCTAACATTAGTATTTTGCCAATCAACTCAGCATTTTTGTATGCCTTTAAAAGTAGCAATCATAATTATGATCCAATGTAGTTATAACTGTTATCTTTTAATGCTGAAGTTCATTTTTTTTCTTTTTTTTTTTACTTATGTGTGAGAAGAAAACTGGATCAAGTTCAGAGTCTTGACACTAGTCAATTTTGAAGATTACCCTGATTCCAAGTACTTTTCTCTCAATAGTGCCACAGCTGAAGATCTGCAGGGCTCTGGCCAGTGAGCAAAGAGATGCCAATCTTGTACTAGAGAGACACATCGGGTATTTTAAAGATTCTGTTTCTAATATCAGTAACTTATTTTTCCTCACAACAAGCTTCTCAAGGCTGCATCTGATTCGTGCCCATATCCCTATGGTACATGGCACAGTGTCTTGGTGCAGTAAGAAATCAATAAATATCCATCAAACAGATACGTGAAAGGCATCTCCCCAATCTGACGAGATTAATCTGGAGATCAAATTTACTCAAAAATAGTTTCTATACAACACACTGAATACACTCTTTGTGAGGACACCTAAAACACAAGTGGGTGAGTGTGTGTGTGTGTGTGTGTGTGTACACACTTCACCTAAGCATCTACATATACAATGACCTATATGTAGAAACCAATCAAGTGTTTATAAGCCTCAGCCAGGTTTTGAGTCTTTCCAATGCAAATACCCATATACTCTTAAAGAGTAAGTTGTCAAACATAAGGAAAGCTGCAAAGAATAATAAATTGATGCCTTCGTCTGAGCTTAGAAACAGAACAATGAATCTGTTCAAAACATTTGGAGGATTCCAGAATCTTCTCTTGATGACTTAAAGAAAGGTGTGTGGGCGGACAGATGTATAAACTCCTTAATTGCTATCTGGGTATTTACTGAGTTGATACAGTGTAACTTTTTAGAAGAAAATATTATTTTATTGTCTTTGTGATAGACGCCACAAAGGTAAGCATGAGGTGACAGATATGACAGAATACAGGACGTATCAAAATTCCTTTGAGTGTTCACTTTTCCACCCTATCCCTCCTTAACAAGTTTAGCTACAAAAAGGATTTTCTTCACCATGATTTTCTAAGTAAAAACATTATTCAACTTGTCACTTTTTAATTCCTATCAGTTATTCCTTCAAGAAGTAGCACTCTACTCATTTCTCATTTCTGAAGAGTCAGACTCACAATGGAAGAGAGGAGGCTAAGTAGTAAAGTCGTTCTCCCGTGAGAAGCTAACAGTGGGGGTAAGGAAGGTGGGTACACGTCTACGCAGCAATTCTCAACCGCCCTCCGCCACAACCAAGAGTAGCTTGCTCCTGAGCCTCCTGCTTTAGAGGGCCCCAAGTTTCCTCACACACACACTAAATAGATTTATTAAAGACCATCATGATCTAGGCAAGTGTTTACTAAGTTCATAGAGCTCATGTGTTACTTTGATTATACTGAAATGGTTCTCTGGTTTGAGCCAAAGGTAACTCCATTCCTTTCACAACAAGGCAGGATATAAAATGAAACCCACTTGATGCAGATCTGTATTTAGAATCAACATATTAGAATTAGCATACACAACACAATTACCAGTTCACTTAAATTTTTTTTTTTACAATTTTTACAATTGCCAGTAAACTTAATTTTTTGTTCATTTGTTTTTCTTATGAAAATAGCAACACACAATCGTGGAGAAAATTTGCGAGATTTTCATTCTTTTTTTTTTTTTTTTTGATCAAAGAAACAGCCTATTTTATTTTTTGATGTTTATTTTTGAGAGAGAGAGAAAGAGTGTGAGTGCAGGAGGGGCAGAGACAGAGGGAGACACAGAATCTGAACCAGGCTCCAGGCTCTGAGCTGTCAGCACAGAGCCTAACACGGGGCTCGAACCCACCAACTGTGAGATCATGACCTGAGCCAAAGTTGGATGCCTAACTGACTGAGCCGCCCAGGAGCCCCGAGAGAGAATCTTAAACAGGCTCCACATTCAGCGTGGAGCCCTACATGGGGCTCCATCCTACAACTCTGGGATCATGATTTGGGCCAAAATCAAGAATTGGAGGCTCAACTGACAGCTACCCAGACACCCCGTCAAATTGACTTTTTAAAAGATTTTATTTATTAACACTCACTAACAATATAATATGCAAGTATGGCTGTGGCTTAGATTATTTTCTTAGGTTTGCCCAACCAAAGGTCAGTAGATCAACGATGTACACATTAAAAAAAATGTTTTATTCATCCTTCTATTTTCCCCTCTTTACATTCAACTGACCACATATCTATCATTCTAACTTTTTTCTCAGATACTTACTTTTTTTAGAGCGTTTGTAAATTCACAGCAAAATTGAGAGGAAGGTATGGAGATTTCTCACATACTCCCTGCTCCCCTCCAAATAACATTCCAGCGGGGCGCCTGGGTGGCGCAGTCGGTTAAGCGTCCGACTTCAGCCAGGTCACGATCTCGCGTGTCCGTGAGTTCGAGCCCCGCGTCAGGCTCTGGGCTGATGGCTCGGAGCCTGGAGCCTGTTTCCAATTCTGTGTCTCCCTCTCTCTCTGCCCCTCCCCCGTTCATGCTCTGTCTCTCTCTGTCCCAAAAATAAATAAAAAAAAACGTTGAAAAAAAAATTAAAAAAAAAAAAAAAACAAATAACATTCCAGCTCCAAATAACATTCCATACTCCAGCTCCCCCATTAACATCCCACACCAGAGTGGTACATTTATGATAACTGATGAATCTATATTGACACATCATTATCACCATCCAAAGTCCACAGTGAACCCTGCCGTAAGGTTCACTCTTAGTATTGTAAATCCTGTGATCTTTGATAAATGTATACTGACATGTGTCCACTATTTTAGTGTCATGCTGAGTTATTTCCACTGCCCTAAAAATCCCCTGTGCTCTGCGTATTCATCCTTTCTCTTCCCACCCAATCCCTGGCACCACTGATCTTTTCACGGTCTCCAAAGATTCATCCTTTCCAGACTGTCATACAGTTTGAATCATACAGTATGCACACAGCCTTTTCAAATTGGTTTCTTTTACTGAGTAGTATGCACTTAAGTTTCCTCCATGTGTTTTTATGGCCTGATAGCTCATTTCTTTCTAGCCCTGAATAATCTTCCATTGACTGGCTGTACCACAGTTTATTTATCCTTTCATGTACAGAAGGACATGTTGGTTGCCTCTAAATTTTGTTAATCATTGACAAAACTGCTATATACATCTGTGTGCAGGTTTTTGTGTGGACGTAAGTCTTCCATTCCTTTGGATAAATAGTAAGGATTGCTGGACTGTATGGTAAGAGTGTGTTTAGTTTTAGAAGAACAACCAAACTGTTTTCCCAAGAGGCTGTACCATTGTGCATTTCCATTAGCGATGGAGGAGAGCTCCTGCTGTTCCACATCGTTGGAATCATTTGGTGCTATCAGTGCTCTGGATTGTGACCGCTCCAACAGCTGTGGTGGTATCTAATTTTAATTTGCCTTTCTCTGATGACACAGGAAGTGGAGCATCTTTCATATGCCTTGCCGTCTGTAGATCTTCTTTGGTGAGGTGTCCGTTAAGGTCTTTGGCTCACTGTTCATCTCTTATTGTTGAGTTTTAGTTCTTCATATATTTTGGATAACTCCTTTTATCAAATATATCTTCTGCAAATATTTTCTCCCATTCTGTGGCTTGTCTTTTTATTCCCTTGGCAGTGTGTTTTGCAGCGAAGAAATGTTTCATTTTAATGAAGCATAGTTTATCAATTCTTGCTTTCATGGATCATACCTAAGGCATAATACCTGAAAAGTCATCACCAGGGATGCCTGGGTGGCTCAGTCAGTTGAGCGTCTGACTTCAACTCAGGTCATGATCTCACAGCTCGTGGGTTAGAGGCCCGCATCAGGCTCTGTACTGACAGCTCAGAGGCTGGAGCCTGCTTCAGATTCTGTCTCTATCTCTCTCTGCCCATGCCTGCTCACATTCTGTCTCTCTCAAAAATAAATAAACATTAAAAATTAAAAATAAAGTCATCACCAAATTCAAAGTCATCTGAACTTTCTCCTATGTTACCTTTCAGGAGTTTTACGGTTTTGCATTTTGCATTTAGGGCCTGTGAGTTATTACTCTGAGTTAGTTTTTGTAAAGGGTATAAGGTCTGTGTCTCTATCTGTTTTTCACACGTGGATATCCAGTTGTTCCAGCAAGATTTGTTGAAAAGACTATACTTTTTTTCTCCATTGTATTGCCTTTGCTCCTCAGTTGACTTTATTTATGAGGGTCTATTTCTGAGATCTTTATTCTGCTCCACTGACCTATTTGTCTGCCCTTCCACCCACACTGACTATCTTGATTACTAAGCTGTACAGTAAATCTTAAAGATAGGCAGTGTCAATCCCCCAACTTTGTTCTTCTCCAATATCGTGCTGGCTATTCTGGGTCTTTTTCCTCTCCATATAAACTTTAGAATCCGTTTGTTGATATCTATAAAATAACTTGTTGGGATTTTGGTTGGCACTGCACTGAATGGATGGATCAAGTTGGGAAGAACTGACATCTTGACAATATTGAGTCTTCCTATCTGCAAACATGGATCTCCCTCCATTTATTTCAGTTTTTTAAAAATTTTACTCATCAGAGTTTTGTGGTTCACCTCATATAGACCTTGTACATATTTTGTTAGATGTATACCAAAGTATTTCATTTTGGGGGGTGCTAATGTAAATGGTACTGTTTTTAATTTCAAATTCCATTCCAAGACCCTCATTGTTCATTACCGGTATATAATAAACAACTGACCTTCATATACTAACTTTGCATCCTGCAGCTTTAATATAATTGTTTATTAGTTCCAGGAGGTTTTTTGGTCAATTTTTTTGTCAACATTTCTTAGATT